GTTCCCTCACCCGGCTCCAATTTTCTCTCATCCCCAAAGAGCCTTCGAACACTGCCCAAGTTCTTCATCTGAAAAGAGACCAGATTCTGACCCCTTTTCTCTTTACACCCCTTCCAGGGCCGCCACTGGTGGCATAACGGTTATGCGTTGGTCTGTGATCCATCCTCAAGGTCAAAGTTTTTGAAGTCACCATCCGCCGGATGGAAGAAAGATGGGGCTTTCTAGTCCCGTAAAGAGTTACAACCTTGGAAACTCACAGGGGTGGTTTAGCCTGTCCTAGAGGGTCCCTATGAGTCCGCATCGACTTGATGGCAGGGAGTTTGAATTTTTATTTTATTTTTTTACGGCTGCCCATTGTCCTTCAGGTATTTTCCACACGCTTCACCGGGACCTTCTCAGCCATTTGTCCTCTGTCAGCCTCTGTGAGCTCCTCTCTCAGTGCTTCCTCTCCGTGCTACTCTGGTGGGTGGGGTCCAGCCTCACAACTGGATGGGTTCTAAGAGGCGATTGTGTGATCGAGGGGTACATTAAAGAGACACGAGACAAGGTATGCAAGGGCTCACCTCTTCCGTGGCGACCAGAACCAGAGAGATTATATCACTCCAGCTTGATATATTCTCAGACATGCAAACCACAGTAAGCACATAGGTAACAGGAAAGGGTTGTATTAGAAGCATATGCATGTAACAGGAGGGGGATGAGCTAGGGGTGTACATGCAGTAGGAAGGGGAGGTGCTAGAGGCACACATGTGACAGGAAGGTACATACATGTGACAAGATGGGTGTGTTCTAGAGCTAAGAAGGTGGCTTGGCCTTAGATGGCGTTGAGCTCTTCTCCAGGGGGACAGTGTATGACCCTTATCAGAAGGGAGTGGGCCATACTTAAGTTAGATGGTCTGACTGCTTTTGATGGCAGACAACCTTGAGGCCAGCGGTTCTCAACCTGTGGGTCGCAACCCCTTCGGGGGTCGAACGGCTCTTTCACAGGGGTCCTAAGACCATCGGAAAACACATAAATATTTCACAATACATAATTACATATTATTTTGTGGTTAATCATTATGCTTTAATTATGTTTCATTATGTTCCATTTGTCCCAATGAAAATACATCCTGCTTACCAGATACTTACATTATGATTTATAACAGTAGCAAAATGACAGTTATGAAGTAGCAAGGAAAATAATTTATGGTGGGGGGGTCAGCACAGTATGAGGAACTGTATGAAAGGGCCGCAGCATGAGGAAGATTGAGAACCACTGCTTTAGGTAGATAGCTTTCAAGCAGTTGACTTTTAAGTGTATAGTGAGGGACCATGTGCTTACAAACAGCACTTCAAAATTGGCATTATTGTGGGGGGACACGGAGGGGAATATGCTTTACTTAGGAGCGTGTGACAGGAACGCATCTCCAACCTACAAACGTGAAGGTCTCCCAG